TTTTGACAACGACGAACAGAAGACGTCTGGCACACGCTGGTATAATTCACAGGTGGCAGAGTTCTATGACAGAGGGATGCATAAGTTGATCCCACGATGCAACAAGTGTCTCAATTCTGGAGGTGGCTATGTTGAAAAATAGCTGAAATATTGCTGTACTTACTGCCAATAAATATGTTCCTGAAAGTGTGAGTTCTTTTTTTAAAAAAAAATAGGGAAACTTACTTTCTGGATGCGCCTCGTATATCTTGTTCAAATTTTCAATCGTTAATAAAATACTTTTTTTTCATCCACTCAAGTTCAAATACATTTTTTCAAACTTGTAGTGAATGAAACTTGATGTTAATACAATTTTTTTCAAATATAAATTCGCTAATTTGTTTAATGAATAAACAAATAGTAACAAAAATAATAGTTCAACACGCTATATAAAAAGGAAAATCTCTCGTTGTGTCCCTGGGGAGCAATGGATATCTCGTTGGGCTTCTAATCCAAAGGGCGTAGGTTCGAATCCTACCTGGGATGGCCTAACTTCAGAGTTTGTGATTACATTTCACTATGCTATTTTATTGGAATAATTAAATTTAATTAATGAATAAATAATAACAAACAAAAAAAATAAAAGTCCAAAACCATATATAGAAAGAAAAATGGAAAATCGCTTTCTATTTTGTCACTTAATATTGTGATTCTGTCATACACACACACACACACGTATATATATATATATATAAATTTAAGTCAATACCTACTTAGGTCAACAAAGAAAAATTGTATTTTAGTTATTTTTTTGTTAAATTGCTACAATTATATATATATGGATATCACAGTGATTAGATGGAATGTCAGAGTGAATTAGTGGAAGCCCTTGGGAATAATGCCCTACTATACCATACAGTAGGACACGGTTTGCAATACGAGAAGACTTTACTAATTATGTGAGCCAACAGGTGATCCGATTCACACAAGGTGCGGCAAATGCTGAGGCTGATGGTATTCAGTGCCTCCCACATCACTGTGGTGACAGTAGCAGGTGACTACATTGAGGGTCTTCAGACCTAGGTTTGTTATGTAAACTTTATGCGTACTGTGCTGTCATTCTTTTGCACCGTGAAGGCCATATTGCCCTGTATATACTACCGTAAGAAATTAGTGTGTTACGATATTTCAGTGCTATTCATCTTGTCCTTTCGTCTGTATATGTCACATTGTCCAACAAGACTGGTATCTTCAAGAAAAAAAATAGTTGACATGACTTTTGCCCCAACCCTCGTATAATAATTTAATGTTTTTATTAAAATACACTGCGGGACAGAGAAAAAGCAAAGCTAAGAAGGAATTGCCAAAATCGCAGGATTGAAACCACAAGGTAAACACAACTTCTTAAGTAAATAATCCAAAATGCTTAGTTACCACTCATTCGATGAGTCCCATAACAGGGAAATATCTATCAGATTTCTCAATAATCATCTCGTTTTTCTGTTGAGATAAATCAAATAATAGAACTGTTTATCGTGACAGAGGAGATGCGATAATAGAAAGAATGCCACATCACCACTAAAGGAGACAATTCCTAAAAACAGATGATTCACAGTGAATACATGGTCAGACTTAGACTACTTCCTTCATCACATAACCGCGGAGCATCACCTACACATGTCCTCGTTGCATACGGCCAGTGACGAAAAGTTTTTGAAGATTATGAGTGTGGTGAGATTGCCAGTGCTTCGAGAGGAATGTCAGATCGTGGGAATAACACATGTGTCGATAGTCTAGCAGTCCACTTCTGTTGATCTGTTACAGTACGAACAGATTTTTCTAGAGAATTCCATGTCGTCCAAGGCCATTATCAACCAACTGATTGCCAGCAGCATAGACTAATGGTGTTCATTAAGAAAACATCCATTGATTCAATTGACTGACACTTCCTTTTAAAAAGGTGGCGGGCTAGATCAACGCACATGATGGAATGGAAAAATATATACACCAACTTCTGTTTCATCACTGACTTGCCACGTATGTGAGTTAGGCGTCAGCTTGGTAACAGGTGAGATTAAATCAATAATTCAGAAAGCCACACAACGCAAAAACCAGTCATTATACTTAAAGGAACCATTGCGCACAATAGTGGTCATCGCTGATGTCGTATTATAACACAATCACAGCCAAATGTTAGAATGACGAGCTAGCTACCGAGTAAAGCTATCATTCTTTAGGTCATATCCTTTAATTTGACCAACAGGATAACGCACAACCATATACGGCATGCAGGGGCCAATAAGCTTATGAGTTACCTAGGTTCATCGTGTTTCCTAATATTTTACTAATAGGCACGTTTGAAAGTGATTGGTCATCATTTTCATAAGCTGCCACCACTATTCTTAATGAAAAACATGTGGCATGTGGTTGATATCAAATGGTTTTCCATCTTTCACTTGTGTGGGAGATGGAAAACCATTCACTGGGTTACATGACAAGTTTCTTCTTATCTATAGACTTCCACAACTTGTGAATCACTTGGAATTGTCCTCCACTCTTTTATTGGTAAAATAAACATCACTTATTGATTGATTCTATTCCTCTATAAATGCAAATTTTCCTCACTTTCTATGCACTGTTAAGCACCAGGAATAAAGTCAGCATACTTGCAGAAGGCACATTCCCAGGTATTGAATAAAAATAGTTACAATTGCCATAGGGATTTGGCATGATTTTGGTCTGATGCATATTTATATCGTGTTATATAAAGAATAATACAGAATCATGACCGCATGTTGTGATATATTTTGTTAGGATATCCAAAATTGAACGGAAGGACTATGGTCTTTTACTAAAATGGACATTAGCAAACTTTAGACGAAGTAACTTGTAGATGAGATCATTGAATTATTTTCTGGAAATGTCTTTTCTTTCAGAAATAATTGTCCATGTAAATATTTTATTAACATTTTGACCTTTCCAATTATTTTATATATGTTATAATCATAATCTAAAATATCTTAAATAATAAAAACTGCATAACCTATCTTAAAAAACTCAAATGTAGTAAACGTGTTTTTTTTTCTTTTCATAAGTGAAGAAATCTTATTTAATTAAAACATAACTAATTTCAAATAAAAAAAACGTAGAAATGCTGGTTGAATTTAAAATATTGTTACACAGAATTGTATTGAAAAAAGAAGTGAAAATGAAAACTCCTAGTTATTAAGACAAAACTCAATTCTTCATTCTAATGATATTTCATTGTTCTGATCTTATTGCAAAGTGAGATGCCAAATTACTTATAAAAAGTAAAATAACTGTATGATACACAACTACATTTGAAATAGAAAGTTTGAATCAATAAATAAACTTAAGGTATCCGACTACGTTCGGAGCCGTGATTTTAAAGAAGCGCATAAAAGGATAATTTTCATGATATTTAGTGTCACTTAGATTAGAATACATATATACAATTATTTTAAGGACATTTTGTTAAAATAAAATTATTTAAATACAATATTTTGGCAAAAAATGATCTTAGAATAATCTTTTTTCAGAATGTTCTCCTTTTGTGAAAAAGGCTTCTATTATAATAATATTTCGCCTATATATAGCTCCGACCTCTCTACAGAGGCTCAACTAGAACTTTTGAAAAATTCACATTATTTTCAGAGTTACCACTCATTGAAATAATTATTGGCGTTTTTTTCTTAAAATTGCTCCCCTCTGTTGTCGTAAAATATGGATAAACCCCCTTCTAAGTTACACATTTCAAAAATTCTAGTTGAGCCTCTGTACAGAGGCCTGAGCTATATACAGGAAAAAATATTATTATAATAGAAGCATGTTTCACAAAAGGGGAACATTTTGAAAAAACATTATTCTAAGTTAATTTTTAGCCAAAATATTGTACTTAAATAAATTTTTTTTGTCAAAATGTCCTTAAAACAATTATATACATGCATTCTAATCTAAGTGACACTAAATACCATGAAAACTATCCATTTATGCGCTTTTGCAAAATTACGTTTCCGAACGTATTAGGATACCTTAAATGAAACTACATTTGAAGCTCGATTTGCCAAACTATCCCCAAAGTGTTTAAATATTATGCTATTTTTCTATTTTATGGGCAAAAAAAAAATGTGCATTAAATTATTACTTCTTTAGGGAATTAAAATTGCAATTATTTCAATTTGTACTTTCGTCTTTTTCCACGAGCATTAGAAACATTTTAAAGACAAATTCATAGTATGAAAGACGAAAAAATGGGTTACTTTTCCTCTGCTGTGAGCCCCATAGCTTCTATACCACTTTCAATGAAAGGGACTTCTGTGGTGTTGAGAAATAATTCGATAGGTGAGGATGTGGAGTTCGTCAAGCATCCGTCTGTGACCTGTGGCAGAGCCTGGACCTTTGCTTTCGTGAGGTATGAGCCAAATCCCAGCCAAGCATTGATAACAAAACCAGCCGATAAACCAATCAGAGTACCCTGTGAATCAAGAGAGAAAATATTCCCTTATTTTTTTACAATTCATTAAACAAAATAGTTTAGCCCTTTATCTATATATACCGCATTACGATTTACTGCAATTTTTTTCATGCAATATTTTTTTTGAATCACTGCATTGAAAATTAGGGGATATACATAAACGAAATACTCAACTTTGGGAAATTTAATTAGTTAGAGCTAATTAATTAATGAAAGATATTTTCAACTGTAAAATTAATTATATAAACTGTTCACTTAAAATAAATAGTCAAATCGTTTTCTAAGGTCTTCTTTAACATACAAAAAAATTAGACACTTAAATTTTCCCATTAACTATTTTTTCGGGACAAAAATTATAATCTTCGTAATCTGCTGAAAACGCCGTCAGCTAAAAACGCACAAGTTCTGCCAAAACACTATTCACCCCTTCCCCGCTAAAATACTCATCCTAGAACCCGTGCTGCCATATATCTTGGAAGAGTGGATTTCAAAGAATATTCATGCTAAGTATCGTCAGAGTATTCATAAAAATGATAATTCTTTGTAGTTTTAAAGTGATTGGTACCGTTGGTAGATAAAGGGTTAATGAGAGATCATAATATTAACGCCGCATTATTCAGCTACATGAAAGCTTTTGGCGACAGACTTCGTAATTTTGAATCATGGTCAACGACAAGGACGACACCTAATCAGGCACCCTCTCGCCTATCTTTGACACCACACCAACGGGGAAACAAAGTGTGACGTTTGAGAAAATAAATGGTAGCGAGAGAGCTATTAATTTAAATATTTGGTTTATTTACGTCAAAGCTTTAAATTACAGTATATACATTAGCATTGAAGTTATTCAAAATATTGGTTATTTCACTACAGTTCAGAATATGATATGTGTGGGGAGGAAGCGACAACCGTTCTCTTCCAATTCTCTTATAGCAGCGTTTCTCAAACTGTAGGGCGCGCCCTCCTAGGGCTGCGTGATAACTCTGCGAAGGGGGTGCCAGCATATTGAAAAGATGAAAACTTAAGATTTGTTTAAAAAAATTATTAATTT